AATATGTGTCTGGTTTGTGATGAAATAATTACGGTTTTGGATCCTGATTTCTGTCTCAAATACGTAAGTAGGGCATTTTCTTAATGACATTATCCTGCATGTTTTATCATGTTCCTCTGAGGTCACCGATGGTCACAAATATATCATTTTTTTCCCAGTAAAACTGAAGCAGAATCAGCTGGATAAGTTATTACAGGCAACATTTATAATGATCTGACCACACGCTTTCTGCCATCACTTCACACTTGTCTAGAGACTGACTATAGCCTCTCATTTAAAAAGTGTCCTTATATATTATTTTACAATTCCATAACTCTTGATCACAAACTGTGGCTATATCATCAATACCTGTCACTATTACCATTTCAAGTGATCCCCCCAAACTGAAATAACATTTACCGGTATGTACATTTTTTTAGGAAAATAGGAATAAAGAAAGTGTCCCTAGGAAAGACATGGCTATCATTGACAAACTCCCATTGAAATGAAAGTAGTACCCGTATTCTGTAGATATCTGAGAAGGTGCCCTGCCTCTAAAATAAATCTTCTGTCCTAGAAATTAGGCCAACTGAAAAATCTCTAATAAATCTGCTTTCTGTGGTCAACCCTCTGAATATGGCACTATTTCAAGCAGCAAAACATAACAGTTCTTTTTCTGGTCTATGAAAGTTGTAAATAGATGCTTAAATCATGGTGAGACCCATGGAAAGCAGAAACACAGCCATTTTGAAGTCTTTAGTTACATCAAAGGTGAGAGGAAAAATCGTGATTTTTTCTTTCCCTCTAGTAAAAGGGATTTGAACTGCAAAAATTCCTCTTCTAGTGGCAGAAAAAAAGATAGTAATGTTCCTTCTTCACAGTTCGTCATAGTAGGGGGGAGAGGGGAGTTCAGCAGTTTTTGTCTTTTTCTCACTTTGAAGGAGCTCAAAATTGTAGCAGTTGCAATGAGAATGCAACAGTCCCCCTCCCCCCTTTTTTCATGGGCAAATGGGAAGTCACATGGCATTATTTTCCTCCCAACGAAGGGGACAAAAGAATATATTATAATTGCTTTTCTTTACAAGGGAAGAAAATAGATTTCTACAAAAATCACCCTTCTTCATGGTAAGAACTAAAAAAAAACACCCTCTTATTTGTATGAATTGTATCATTTCTAGCACTGAGTAAGGAGTCATTGCCCTTACAACAGGGGTGTCAAACTGCTGGCCCATTGGCCAGTTTCATCATACCAGAGCCATGCCCACCCCATTGCTGGCAATGGCAAAAAAGCTCCGATACGTTGCACGATGTCACGTAACGTCGCGAGTTTGACATGTCTGCCTTACAAGAAGAGAAAATATCTTATTATGTATGACAATATCCATGTGAAGGATGAGTTGTTTAAAAGTATATTTCAGTGTTTCTCAACCTGGACAACTTTCAGATGTGTAGATTTCAACTCCCAGAAGTTCATTTCTAAGTATTTTTGAAGTTCAAATGTGTACATCTAGAAGGAACCCTATTGTACATGATTAGGAAACTCTATGTGTGTGTATGATTGAGTGGTTTTTTCCAATGTAGTCCACTACCACATTTGAATATGACTATGGTCATCTGCCCATCCATTCAACATGGATTGTCAATCTTCGATATGGCTACAACCGGGTAATGAAATCTATCCAAATTTGCTATACTTGTGTTTTTGGTCTTTCATATTCACCTTGTGAATTTTGACCTGCAGTGCTATTCCAATTTATTCTTGTATATATGCATATTTCTCAGTTTCTCATCATGAACCAGCTACTTCATCAATGTCTCTTTGAAACATGCAGATTGTCTCTATTGAAAAGCATTGTTTGAAGTAACATCAGGGGATTCAAAATTTTGCCTGTAGTATTAGTAAAACTTTGAAATATGTGATAGCATTCCTATTACTATTGTATACTATCATCTTAGGCAAGTTAACTCAGAAGAAAGAAAGGAGTGAAGTATTCTTTTTAGTAAGTATTTTAAGGATATAAATAATCAGGTATAAGCAAAAATATTTCACTAAATGGGGAAAAAAAAACCTCCAGAATTGTTCCTTCTTTCCAACAATAGAAAAAAAACCTAATAAATTGGACAAATAAAGATTCTCTGCCCATTAATCGTGTCTAGTGTCTCCTATCTGAGATTACTTCATTGAATAATGGAAAAAGAATACCATTACTCAAACTGAGAAAAACTTTGAAGTAATTTTTCTGTGCATTCAAATCTCAAAGAATTCTATCTGAAAATCTGACCCATTAGAAAAAAAACCCCAAGATGTTAATTTCTTAAATGGGACCTTAATAATATAATCATACTAATGTAAATTATACATAAGTTTAAAAAAAAAGTGTGAGATTTCTAAAACTGGCTTTAGAGCACAAAAGTAGGAAATATTATAGATATAAGCATTTGCTTCATCTTCAGGAATGTCCCAATCTAAAGTGGCACAATGCCCATATCCATAAATTGCTGATTACTCATTCATTCATTCATTCATTCATTCATTCATTCATTGTGCCATTCTTGCTAAAATACATTAATGAACTCTCTATGTTTCTCTTTTAAGTATATCCCCTCCCAAAGCAATTTAGAAATCTGCATAGAATCACATAACCAACCAAAGCAGCCTTCCGCCAGTACAATCGCTTCTCAGCAGGAGAACTCTTCCGAGAGCAAATTCTGTAATGAGAAAGTAATAGCTTGATTTTTAAACAATATTGATCTTTTAAATCTTATAATTGCTGAGTATTTAGCAGTGTCTGAACAATGTGATTGTTCAGTCAAGCCTGATAACAGGAAAAAAATTTTTTTAGGGGAATGTGGAATTAGCTGTCCTCACAATTTTAATGCCTTCTCAAGGATGAGCAAACCAGCCAACTGCCGTAATATAGAATAAACATGTGTTCTTTGCATATGTATTCAATGTTATCAGTTTAAACTATTGATTGTGAAGGATGGAAGGAGTAGCACCAGTTAAATGTGTCTGTAGATCTATTTAGGCATGAAAACATTAGTATGCTGATATGCCATTAGTATGTTTTTGCATCAGATTCGGTCAAAGCCTGATTCTAATAAAAGAATGTCATTAGAATATAAGAGCAATTGACATGCATGTACCCAGAACTAAGTAGACAGTTCTAATCTGCCCTGTTCCAGGTCTATGAAACTCCATTTCTGATCTGTTTTGTTTTGTTTTGGAACTACAATGTGGCACAAATGGCTACATCATACATAAGAAGAACTTTGCAGAGAGGGAAGAAGGCAGGCCTGATCTGAGATAAGTCTCTTTACATAATGAGGGAGAAGAAAAGTGGGAGTTGCTTAAGGAATATAAACGGGCGGAATTCCCCCCCCCCAAAAAAAAATCCTACCTAAATTGTCTTCCTCATACCAAGCAACTTTTACAAAAATAGAAAATTTCTGGGCAATTTAATTGGCTTGGAAAGCTACCTGGCAAAGAAAGAAAGTGAGACTAAGTAATATTAGACCCTGAATGTAACAATGTTATGAAAATAAGGGAGGGGTTTTTTGTTAACTATTTGCACTGAATAGGATATAACCACAATTTTGTTATACAAATCTATCCTCTTCTAGAAATTTAAATAATAATAGCACTTTGCTATAAATACTAGTAAAATGAAGATCTCTAATTGTATATTTGGTTGGTTAGCAGTTTGCTGGGGATAGATTCCAATATGAGATTATTGTAGGGAAATCAAAGCTTTTGCACATTTACAAATTGCATAAAAAGATTATCAGCAATTCACCATAAAATGAAGTGCTTGCTCTTTTGTCCTGCTTTTGTTCTATTTGTACAACCTGGATTATTTTAAATCAACTTGTAATCTATTTGATCAACTTTTTCATACTTACTTGGTGGGGTGTGGGAAGGCAGAATATTTGAACTGATGTCAAGGTGGAAGAAAAAAAGTAGTTTAGAATATTGCTGAGATGGAATTTCATTGCATAATTTACCTGGAGAAAACTCTAGCAGAAAGAAGGGAATCAAAACATTTTGCACCTTTTTAAAGTGCACATAATTATTAGCACACTCTTTGCTGCAAACTTGACAAGTGCCTTGCTATGTGTGTGAGGTAAAGCAAGGCTTCTAAAAGAAAAAAATTAGGTCTTTGAGTCACCAAACAGCTTAAAAGTTCATAGGCTAGAAAGTCATTTTCCTTGTGAATACACTGTGAAATGTCTTTGAAAATTACTTTTTTAATTACAGTTGACATTTCTAAGCCTCCTGCTGATGGTATCTCTCTCGAAAAGAAAACAATGATGACAAAAATAAAACATGATTTGCAACAATAAGAATGAATGGCAAATGTGGGGGAGACTGCAAAACAATTTGAAACCAGCTATTTATTTATGAATATGATTTTTTCTATCTATGGTACTACTCAGTGTATTACTTTCCACACACTAGTAAGTTTAGCTTTCCCCAATACAGAGAGTAAAAGCAGATACATAAAATAAGTGTCGGTACCTAATGGGAAGGGGGTAGTTTTGGCCACAAGGAGGGAGTCAAAAAAGTAAAAACCAACAAACTTTTCAGTTGAAGACTTGCAGGACTTTGATTACATGATAGTGGTCTTGAGTTTTTTTACCTTTTTTGGGACACTCATGAGTGATGATAGTAAGATTTCACTGGCATAGAATGGGTGATCTTATAGTAGATGTGGAGCGGGAAGATTTAAAATGGACTAGCAAACCTTTAAATGGGCCACAAATCAGGAAGCAGCTAAGATTTTGCGAAATTCCAGAATGATGAATAGAAAAGCATATCAATATAATAGTGACATTAAACTTAGCATCTCTTAAGTGTTCTTATTCCATTTATCTATGGTATTGCTTTGCTGCGTTTATGTATGTGTGTTTTTAAAAAAACATGGATCAAGGTCATTTTAGGCTTTATTTATTTTATTTTATTTTATTATTTTATTTATTTTATTTATATTTTTATAACACTCATCTCATTGTCAGGAAATGCTGGATGACTTACATCATAAAAACAAAAATACAAAATATTAAAAATTAAATGCTAATATTAACAGACATTAGCTAAGAAACCAGGATGCTATGGGATGGGAGTGGGATTTTCTTTCTATTCCTAGTCCACTAACCACTTCCAGTGTGGAACACCCCTATCAGGATCTCAGTTCAATCAACATAGCCAAGTTTTGAGGCTTCTTTGGAAAGCCAAGTTGGTGCAGGGTAAATCTCACCTCAAGGGCCATGAAGTTCCAGAGAGCTAAAGCCATTGCAGGAAAGGTCCTGTTCTTGTAATTTTGCCTCAGCCTGAAAAATAGAGGCAGATTATCTGCAAACTGTGAAACACTATGTTATCAGGCATTTTTTCACAAACTTTTAGGTTTATTCCTGCTTTGTTTAAACCTTGGACAGCTACAAAAATTTCTATTTAACTTGGCTGTCCTAAATATCTTTTTTTAAATTTATATTTCATATTTCTAACCACCCGTCTCCCTTAGAGTCCCAGATTGCAGGCTTGAATCAAGGGATCCAAGCTCTTTCTTTTCCTTGTTAGAAAACATCAACAGGACAACACAAAGAATATGGTGTATTGCTGCTAAGAGCTATTTTTGTACTCCCTCACTTGTCAAAGTGACAAAACTCCAAGTGAGACGATAAAACAACAATGTGAGGCAAAGTTGTAGGGCCATTGGGAGACTGCTCCCAATTGTATGAGAAATACAGGTAGTCCTTGAGGTACGAACCTAATGGAGCCTGCCCATTAGACTTATAAGTCAAAAAAATTGTCAAATGAATCACTCAATTTTACAAATTTTTAAAATCAAATTCATTAATTGAATCAAATGGGTGGTTAAATGAAGGAAGATCTGACTTACTGTTTCCTCCTATTTGTTAATTGATCGCTCCCGCCGGTTTCCCATCAGCTGTTTCCGGTGCAGCCAGCTCAGGAACTAAATTGCCTCCAAGCAGAACTTGCTGTCATTGCAGATGCTTTGAAAAATAAAATAAATAAATAAAAACAACCCTGATGCTAGTTAGCTCAAGTTTCTTCAGCTGCCCAGAGCAAGTGCTTTAAAAAAAGAACCACTTGCCATTAATTAGGTTAAGAGTCTCCAGCCAGGCACTCAGGGGGAGATGGCAGAGGGATTTGCAGAACTCTCAGCTTGCAACAGTAACAGAGATGGAAAGGACTTTGAGATCATCTAAGTCTAACCCAATGTTCTCACAACAGAGTATTTCTGATAAATGCCTATCCAGTCTCTTCATAAAAGCTTCCAGTGATAGGGCAGCCACATCTTCTGGAGGCAATTTAAATTTAAAACCTACAAATGACAGTAATATACACTAACCTCCAAAATAAAAGCAAGGAAACACAACATTATGGAAATCTTTCCATAGATCCCAGCTAGCATTTCTACAAGCAGTTTCAAGGAAAATGCAAACAAACTTTGTCTTTGCAAAGTACTGTACTTACAAACACAATAGTTTGCAAAGTGCAGTACTTAAAAAGCAGAGCAGTTCCCAAAGTGTTTGCAAACAAAGAGTTTGCAAGCACTATAGAGTATATGCTTTAATATATATATTAAGGTAATTACAGAAGCAGTCTGCAAGCCCAGGCAACAGCAGATTCTCCACCCAGCATCCAAAAAGCAAAACCAAACCACTGGCTCAGCTCTTGTTTGGCCATGTGACCAGGACCAAAATAAAAACAAAACAAAAACCCTTCCTGCTTCAGGAAATTGCATTCATAATTGGAATGGCCCAGACAAATCAGAGTTAAACATTCCCGCCACTGCAGCAGTAACTGAATCCAAGTCACATGGCTATAGAGGCCTCTTTTTGCTCGCAATTTTGAATTTCTAATCTAAGTACCCTTTCTGAATAAATTCATTTTTGTGAAAACTCACTAAATGAACGTTCGTACCTGGGGAATTACCTGTACCCTGCACCCTCAGGGGGATGAAAACACTGTGGAATTGTGTAATGGAGCAATATTTAACTTTCTTTTCATGATAATTTTCACGTGGGATCGCCAGCTTTGTGTTTTGATATATAGTGGTTAAAGCACCAAGTTAGAAATCAGGAGATCATGCGTTCTTATCCTGCCTTAGGTATGAAAGCTAGCTCTGAGACAATCAGCCTCTCTCAGTCCTAGGAAAAAGGCAACGGTACACTATGCCACTCTTTCATTTAAATGAGATTCCTCTCTCCCCTCCCCCCAAAAAACATTTTAACAGTACTTAAAAACAGGGGGGGAAATGGAGATGTTAATTGGCTCCCTCTGGAAAAATTACACTTAAGATTTATTATTTTATGCTAAATTCACCTTAGATCAACAGTAGTGAAACTGGAAGTTCCCTTTTACCTTAGTATTATGCTTCTATTCATATGAACAATCTATCATAATAAAAATTATAATGTATCAAGAATTTTGGCTGCCCATTTGGCTTTTGCATCAGAGATTTTTCCAAGTGTTTTGCTAAATAAGCTAGGCAATCTGAGTGGAAGAATTTATTTTGTTAATTTTCTGATTTCTCAGGCCTCATTAGCTAACAGGCCTACATTTTCCTATCTGTCCAAACCCTGCTGATTCCAACAGGGATTACCAAAAACATGTATTTACTACCATTTTAGCAAGGGGTTACTGCTTCAAATATATTGTCTGGAATGACTTCCATTAGTATTATAGTGCTATAACAGTCATGATTACCATAGCAAAATAACAACGAATGAGGTGTTTTTTCCAGTACATTTTATATGCATATTATTTTTTGTCAAGAATAAACAATGTAGTTTCTGCCATGTTAAGACAGGATGCAACAAAAAAGGTATGAATACCAAAATAGACATAGCCCGGTTAAAAAAATAAAAATTAAAAACCATAAGCCCTCAAAGTTAAGGTGACCAACCGCCCTCCTTTAGGGAGGACAGTCCTCCTTTTGTAAGTTCTGTCCTCCCTCAAAAAGTGTCCTCCTTCATGTCCTCCTTTTCGATATTTGAAGACTAATCTGCAGGGCTTTTTTTTCCCCTCATAGAACCCTCAGAATGGGGTTCCGGCACCTTTTTTTGATAGGTTTTTTTTTTTCAACTTTTGCATGAGCTGTGCTACTCCCACTATTGGCTTTCGAAAGCCGATAGGAATTGCTGCTGAGCGCGCCAAAACACCCAGCTGGCAAACTTTGCACATGCAAGTTGTCTGTATTATTGTTGCAATGAATAAAATGTTTTTTTTTATTTACAATATTTTTTTCTTCAATTAATTTGTGTCCTCCTTTTCACTGTAAAAAAGTTGGTCACCTTATAAAGTTCCCAAGTTAAAATTCTGGCCTTATGCATGATATACCGCTCCCCTTCTGTTTCCTGTCCCATTTTAAATGAGGCCTCCAGTTTCCAAAAGGCCCATTCCTGACTGGTATTTAGTTCTTCATTTTAAGAAGTAATTTCATTATCATTTTTACATGTTACATTTAACAATTCATGCTGGAAACCTATTGAAATACTCATTAAATATACACTTTAAGTGAAGTATGATGTTAAAGATAGCATTAATTGCAGCTTTGAACAAACCAGCACCCACCTAAAAGCATACCTCTTAAAAATACTTAGTAATAGTATTAAGAGCACTGGTGTGGACAAAACATAATGGGATGTACATAAAGAAAAAGCACAATAAACCAATAACAGTGAGGAAAATCAATTGCAATTCCATTTGTAACTTACAACAGAAGAGCACTGATGGATGAACACAAGAAAGTTACAGTCTGAAGCACTCAAAGAAACACACAATGACTTATCCCCTGTCATTAGATCTGTCTACACCATCTAAAATTAATCTCTAGCTTTTCTAATATAAAAGCTGCCATGTGTCTCATTACTTCTGTTCTCTGCCTAATAGTAAACCTATGTGTTTCACTTAAACATGGGAATAGATTGGAACAACTCTTAGGTTGTTATATTTTAAAAAATGAGGGGTCAGCCAGTACCTTTTTCTTTGCCCCAGATTCTCAAAAAACTTGGATGCAATCTGAAATATGCAGTTTTTAAAATATAATCCATTTGCTGTCATCTCCTTCATTCTTCTTTATGAGTGTGACTTAATACTGATGTGGTTTCTACTTTATACAAGCCTTTTAAAACTCCTACCTGGTTTCTTTTAATAACTTTAAGTTGTCTAAGAGCGTTGGTGTAATAGATGGGTTCAAAATAACAAAAATCTTGCCTGCTTGGATTTGAAAGTATGAAAATATTAGAAAGCCTAGGAGAAACTGTATTGTATACTGACTTGTGCATGAACACCTGTAGTCAAATTGCTGAATAGGCTACTGTCTCTGTTTTGAATGAAGATTAAGGAAAATATAACCCATGAAGATTAAAATCAGTCCAATACCCAAAAGCCAGAAATAAATTATAATATTCCCTTTTTTCACAAAACTGTCAGCCTTCATATTTATCAACAAATCAATCTGAAATGTAATAAGTAATTATACTAAGATGATTTTGAAATAGGCTACTGCTGATAAATAATACATTACAAAGATATTACTTAAAAACAGATAATTAAAATGAAAGAGTAAAAATGTTTATCATGCTAAAAATTAGTTTTGCTGCACAAGAGTTGTATTAATCCTACAAGAGATTTGATCATTCCAGTATTATTGTAGTTGATTAAAACAATGCGCTCTTTAGAATAATTCAGTCTTCTCATCTACTTTCTTCATATTATACATTACTTTATATACCACAATCATATCCCCCTTCCATCATCTTTTTTTTTTCTAAATGAAAGAAGCAAAAATATTCTAAGCCAGGGGTGTCAAACTGCCAGCGCGTGGGCCCCTTGCATCATGGGGCCTCTTGCATGGAGGCTGTGCCCACCCCAGCTCTGGCAATGCAAAAAAAGTCATGATACATCACGACACATCACGTGACATGGCGAGTTTGATGCCCGTGTTCTAAGCTTTAAGGCAATCTTCAAATTTACAGTCATCCCAATTGCTCTCTTCTGCACTTTCCCCCAGTTATATTATATCCTTTCTCAAATGTGATGACTAGAACTGTTTTTACTACTGCATATGCAGACGTTTTAGATTTTATAAAGCCATCACAATGTTGGCAATTAAACTTTCAGTCCATCACTTGTAATTCCTAGCATGGAAATTGTTTTGTTTTGTTTTTCACAGCTGTTGTGTATGGAGTTGACATCTTCACTGAGCCACCCACTGTTATTCCAAGATCTTTTTCCAGCTTGAAGACAGGTTCATCCCTACCATTCTGAATGTGATGTTTACTTGAAAAACTTTGGTGAAAAAATTTGTCAAATTCTTTTTGAAAATCAAGGTATACATTGTTAAAAGGGCCACACCAACTTGTGGAAGATTATGGAGACAGATAAACAGATGATTCCATGTTGATCTTCCTTCAGTAATACTTGTTATTCTGTATCATATCTGGGTGTTGTTTTTTCTTTTGATTACCGTTTCCGCCAGTTGGCCTAGAATAGACTTTAAATTATTCCTTTGTGAAAATTGGTGTTTCACTGGTTAGTTTCCAGGTCTGCCACACTAAGGCCTATTTGAGAAACTAGTATACTCTTACTAGAATGTCAGCAATTTTAGTTATGACAATTTCAATGTCAATTCAGCATTTAACAACTCTCAGTTGGATGTCTCTAGGATCTAGGCCTAGGGTAAAATGTGGTCTGGGTCATCTATGAATGGCACACCATGGAAATGTAAGTTTTTTGATGATCAAAAGGAGTGCTCCTACTCTGCTCCAAATGTTGTGCATATGTTGATAATTGATGTGATTGTCAGCCCTAATCAAGATAAGATTATATAAAAAACCTGACTCCACGGAAGAACACTATACATCATTTAAATAAGTTATAGCAACAGAAGCTTGCAAGTTTGCTTATACTTTACCTTCTCTCCCTCTTATACATCACTGAGACAGGGAAGAGCCAGGCTGAGCCTCTTCCTAGCATTTTCTCCTTTCCCAGGGCTAAAGGAATGCTTCTGCCCTTGTTTTTGTAACAGTTTTTGAATATCCCCTTCAAGATCCTCTCCATGGTTCTCTACAGAGACAAAGCACAAGTTTCTATATAGTATACTGGCAGCAAAGAATCAGGCTGACTTAAGTCTGAATATTTAACTAATTTAGGGATCAAACTACAAGACTACATTTTCACTATGAACTTATGTAAGCTTTATGCCTGTTTAACTGTCATGGCTTACCCTGGAGAATCCTGATAATTACAGTGGAACTGACAAAGGTACCAGATTACAGCATAGGCTTTTTGAACTACACTGGCCTTTAGTACAAGTTTCTTTATCATTTTTACTGCAACAGATTAACACAATTACCCCACTGGAAACTTGTTCAGGATATTGAAAATTCTGCCATCCTTCTCTTATTGTTCAGAATTCCTTACAGTTACAGATACAGGTATTATAAACTTGTTGCACAATTCTTTGCAATCTATGTGTGTGAATGATATGCTTGATTGTGTATAGAATAACAATCCAAGCTGATACATAGAGATATTCAGAACACATGGCTAAAGTTATAGAATAGTAAATACACCAGTAATTTGGGGCTATGATATATTTTTTCCACAAAGAATTTGGGAGCAGGTATAGTACTCATATCTAGAAGGACACAAAGGCACACCAATTTCTTCTTTGTTAAAGACAGGTCTTCATAACATCTTGAAGGCATTCTATTGTTGGGAAAATCTGAAATCAGTCCAAGTTGTTCAAGCATGAAACAGAATTTTCCCAGCTATCATGGGACCTCCCACATATATATACTAGGTTGTGCACCAATTGCTCCTATTTCTGTACCAGGAAGCTCTCTTTACAGTCACTCATGTCCTAGTCACTTTTGGAATAGATTCCTATAACCTGCTGGGCATGGGGCTGGGTTTGAAGGGTATTCAGAAGCTGCAGCTGGTACAAAATGCAGTGACACAGGCAGTTATATGTGTTCCTCAATCACCATATATTATAGCTCTGCTCTGCAAGCTGCATTGGTTGCCAATGTGTTTTCAGATGTAATTCAAGGTGTTTATAATGACCAATAAAGTCTTATATAGCATGGGAACCAGATTTGAGTGACCATGTGTCCTGGATTATGTCTATCTTTCCCAGCAGGATCAGTAAGAGAGGACATGGTTCCTGTCTATGACAGAGTGTCATATAATGGGACACAAAAAGAAAGCATTTTTTGAATGCCATCTTAGATTGGCTTTGACCTATTGGCCTTAGGACAGCCCTCAGGACATGGCTTACTATAGTGCTTGGAAGTGAGGCAACGGTGGGGGACATTTGCACTGACTGAGCTAGATGAAAAGATGGACTTGGGCCATTGACCATATCTTTTTTTTACATGATTTTTGATGTTTTGATATTGGCTTTTAACTTTTTTATTGTATTGTTGTTTTAATTGTTGTAAACTGCCCAAAGCCATTTGGGTAAGATGGATGGCTGTACTGTACAGGTGCTGGATTTGATTATTCCTGTCTATAATGGGAACTATTCCTAAATGTACACATGTCCTGGATCTCAGGGGAACATAAGTCTAGTTGCATTCTTACATGTGCAAAGACACTGAAATCTTGTCACACCTCATGCAGGAATGCCATACTCTTGCAAGAGATTTCAGCAATTTCACTTAAGATGATTTTTCAACTTTTTACATGAATGGGCAGGTTCTATTATCGTGTATAATATTCTCATTGTAGTCCCAAAACCCCTGGGTAGAAGATATACGGTGAAAGTATATATAAATAAACATTTTACAAACAAATAAAGATTTTAATCCATATTACCATAATGAACTGCCTAGCACAGTGTAGATCAAGGCTTTTTAATATCCATAGGTAGTGTTCAATTTTAAAATACTTCTATTAACATTAACCTGATTCCAATATTACTTAAAGGGACATTCAAGCCAAAATTTGTCATTTAAAGAAAAATCATAACTTCAAAATGCAGCAGTAAGTAAGATGGAAAGAGAAGCCCTCCGTATCACCAATTGATTTCTATTGGAAAAGTGGAGTAATGGGCTTTAATTACCTTCTTTTGCTGGAGGAAGATATAATAGCAGCTGAGCAGAAAAATTGGGTGTTATCTGCCCTGCTTTTTCTTAAAGTCGTTAAGAACGTTTATTTGCAAGTACAGGTAATAATGCGGCAATGTAATATCTTCATGACAAAATCTAGGAGTCCGAAATTGGGATATGTTTAAATTTTGTGACAGAACTTCCAAATATTGTCTTTGATGGGTACCTTATTGAGAAACACATTTGGTGCAGATAGTTATGCCTAGTTATGACAGGCTTTGTCAGCTTCCAAAGCCACTCAGAAAAGGTGAAGGCTGAGTAAAGCTAGCTTCCAACTGAGCTGCTGTTTCAATTGATTCACTTGACTTGTTAGACTCTTATCTTGCACAGCAGGGAAGGGAGGGACTAAATAAAATCAATTCTTTTGAGACCAGCATTTCAAGACACTGGGCATCCCTTCAGGGAATGTTTCCAGTGCATTGAATAACCACAGTTGGGAAAGTTATAATGCATTCTTCTTAAGCTCAGTTTGTCTCTGTATGAGCATGGGCCTATTTGCGTATATGGAAGAAAAGAGAAGGTTGGCCTGACATTGTATTCCTCTGCGCAGAGTCATCTTCAGATTAGGAGAATGAGCATAATGAGAAATGGGGTGTAAGGGGGGGGAGGTGCCACCACATCAAAGAGTATCAAGCCTTATCTCTTCTAACTCTGACAAATAAACCAGAAACTCATGCAACCAGCCTATGGTGCACTGCTATCTCTGTGGGATAAATCAGTAAACCAAGCAGGTGAACAGTGCTCGGCTATAGTAAAAAACACCACCATAGTAGACTTACTTAGAATTAGTCTAGTGATTAGGACTAATGAATGTCAGCTGTGCTGACATGAGGATCAAGTACTTCCTGTATTTAATTCCCACATGAATGAGATCTATTAGAATAGGGCTTGCCTGTGTTCTGACCCTGGGTAGTTTTCTCAAGTAGTTTAACTCTTAATTTATTCCGATGAAGGATGCTTCCTTTCCTATCATTTCTACTAATGATGGGAAATCTAATCTATATTTTATACCAAAATTATTTGGCACTTTATACCAAAAAAGGTATTATACTTTTTGGCATTATACTTTGACTTTTAATACCTTTAATTAGGAGCAGGATTTTTTGACATGAGTCAGCCACACACAGGAGTTTTCTCCCTTACAAATAGTCCATGCCAAGAATAAAAAATGTAAGTGATGTCCAAGTGAAAGTCTGAAAGCCATGCAGATGCTTAAGAGTTCATCCTCATATCTAATCATAGCATGAAAATACTCCATTAACAATCTCTAAATAAAAGGACGTTGGAATGTTGCTTTTGTGTCATCCTCAACCCAAATTAAAGACAGTTTTAAGTCATATTAGTTGTTCCAATTTCAAAATAGCATTTCCCTTCTCCTGACACTTTGTTAATCTTCTTGAGGTATAATCTATGACAGGAGTATCAAACTGCTGGCCCGTGGGCCAGATGCGTCACACAGAATCCATGCCCACCCCAGCTCCAGCAAGGAGAAAAAAGTCACGATATGCCGCGTCACGTGACGTGGCAAGTTTAACACCCCTGATCTATGACGTTTCCTCAACAATGGTCAGGGTCTAGAATCTTCCAAGCAAAATTTTGGCTACTTTGGGTTGCTGTGGATATGCTCCTTTCACTCTGGTTATTGGGCATTGTCCTCCATGGCCATTTTGTCTTAGGCTGCGAAAGAACATGTATGAGACATTATAATATCTGACTAATATTCCTGAAAGCATCAGTGAAGATTTACTTGAGCTCCTTATATAGCCTAGTTTAATATTTTTTTGAACGTTACAAGACCTGTGATTACCACTCACTCAAGAGTTTTTCTCCTCTTCTTCTGGCATGAGCTTCTGTGTGACCATGTTTTTTTTTTACTTTTGTTACTTGGGTGGAGTATAAGAATAAGTAATAAGAAACCCTGTTTCATATACTCTAGGCACCAGGATAGAAACTGGGAGAGCATGAATTCTGATTCTTCCTTAGGCCCAAAGTCAGCTGGATGACCTTGGACCAGCCCCTTTCTCTTAGCCCTAGGAAGAAGGCAATGGCAAGCTACTTTTGAAGTCTTGCCAAGAAAATGTCAAGCACTTGTCCAGGTAGTCACTAGAATTCAACACTGACTCAAAGTTACAACTCCCCCCCCCACCTTTAGGAGGAAAGGTTTCATTTTGCCTACCCTCAAACCATTTTGCATGGTCTATTCTTGGATGTTGTTGGTTATGGTTATCCAATACTATTCTTGCCTTTTTCATGCAGACTTTATTGATATAGGATATGTGTATCCTATATTTATTTGTTTCCAGAATTACTTTTCTTTTTTAACTAAAATCTCTGAAGTGGTAAGTCTAAGAATAATGGTTTATTGAAATAATGTTGTGTCCAAAAAGAGGTTCCTCTACAAGTCACAAGCATAGAGGAGAGATACAAAGTGGGGTCTCCTAGTATATTGAGAGATCTTCTTTCTGTTCAATTCCACAATCTTCCTCTATACTGGCAATTTGGCCTATTTTGGACATAGGTTTAGTGTTCTTTCCAAAAAGCACAAGATTGAGACTCAAAATTAGCCTAAATGACAGGTCACAAGTCTATCACATCTGCAAATAGTCACTTTGCCATATTTTTAAAATAAAATTTTATTATTATTATTATTTTAAATATGAAAAAAGCAAAGGAAAAAAAGCAGAAAAGGAGGAAGTAAACAGGAAAAAATCAAAATTAGGGAGTGCAGACAGGAAGGGGAAAAAACTATAGAAAAGAATAGATTCCAATTTTCTTTCATAAGTATAAGTATAAAATACAGTGATCCTTTGAGTTAAAATAAACCACAACATATAGTACTTCTATAACCATAATCAAATCTAATAATCAAATCCCAGGGTTAAAATTTCATTTCCTTCAGTTTCAAGCAAAAAATAGAAAAGTGTTTTTCAAATAGAAACAAAGTTAGACAAA